TTTCATCTCATCCTAGGTTCATGAGCACAGCCGCTAATAGCAAGAAGAATAATCACTCTCAACCAAGGAAAGATAAATTTCTGTTGATCACTACATCCACTAGATCACCAATACCCAATGTTTGATTCATGGACATGCCTTCCCTGCCATCATCGTCGGTACCTTCTATATTTCATACTTCTTCTCGTATTTCAATTTCATTAGGGAAAAAAAAAATCTTATACAATAAAAACCCATATGTTGAGTTTTTATTGCCAGGTAAGATTCTGATCAGCAACTTAGACCTTTCAAGTACTTTCTCCATTTTAAAGTCACAATTCATTTCGATTCAATAAATAAAAGTTTTATATTTTGAACAGTATATGTATATTGCCCACTTTCATCCTCCTACATTATGATATCCAGTTGTAGTTTTTTCCTACTCCCAACAACCCTTCCCCTTCAATGTAAGGAAATTTGAAGAACTTAATGAAATTTGGGGGGGAGGGGAGAGATGGAAGGCCAACCCCCATACTTATCATGGCCAATTTTGCCTAGAAACTTGAATAGCTTGAAGAAACCAGATGTTAACTCTCCACTCTCATTTGAAACTATTCACCAGCAGGTGTGGGGATTGAGAGGGATTTTCCTTCCTCCTACCAACAAATGTGCTTAGGAAGTCAAAGGATGAGATGAGAATGAGGTGGCTATAGACTCTCAACACCACCTAGCTGCCATGTCATGTTTATTTGTCTATGTATGTGTTAGCTCAGTCAGCTTCCAATTCAGTAAAATTAACAATGTTATAACAGTTCAGACCTTCAGAGATGGATGGATTTAACAAATTAAAGTATAAGGGTTTGATTCAAAAGAAATAAACTATAAGGAGGTGATTCAAAATTGATGCAAATTACAGGGACCTGCAAATTAGTTTTTCCTACATGTTTTAACAAAAACATATCACATATCTTATAACTAACTAATTTATGTAACTTTTGTAATGTAATCACATTAATTAAATAAATTTGATGTTAAAAACCGAAGGAGTATTATATTATTGAAAGGTGAAGTAGTCCTAGTTGGCTTTCGCATCTCCCTCGGCTCGCCTCCCCTTTTCTTTATTTTTAAATCTTTGTCGCTGGCCAGTAAATTGTGAGTGTGCAAATAAATTTGATCCGTTTTCAAAGTAATCGGTATTTGATTAGCCAAGGACCATGCAAATCCAGAAATTAATTAATTTCTTAAAAAAATTTATGTAGACGTTACTTTTTAATATTTTATTTATCAAAATGCCAAACAACATTTCAAAATACATATATGGCCTTCGAATTATTTTTGCAGGAAGGGAAATTTAAATTTAAAATCAAATTAATAAAGTGTTTGGATAAAAAATAAATTACAATTTTAAAAATAATTTTATAATATATAAAATAACTATGCGATAAAAATTATATTGCTTTTATAAGATTGCCTTTTAAAAGTGTTTTGAGTCAAACCAAACAACGCCCCTAAATCCAGTTAGCCTCCTTTCAGTCAAAAAAAAGGCCAGCCTCCTTACTTGATTAGGTGATGGGATGGGCCCACTCGTGCCACATGGCACACACTGCGTCGGATTTCAAGGGTCACCAAAATTCCATTCCCCCGCATATTACTGGCCCGGTTGTCTCCTCTACACTCTGCTTCCCCAGATGGCATTTGAAAAAGATGAAGGTGGCACCTGGTGACTAATCTGTAGCACGCTTTGTTTGATTCATGATAATCCGGAGTGTTCAATACTGATCCGTTCTAATCGGCCTGTTCCGGTTTCGGTTTTATTGCGATAAGACAGATTCATCCTGAAATTTTTTAAAATGAGATAAACCAAGACAAGACAAAAAGAAAAACTGGGACAGGACAAGACAGGACACAGGACAGGATGATCCCGTCCCTGTTCCTTTTATTTTTTTATCATATTGATATAATATAATTTTTTTCATATTTTTTTAAGATTTAAAACTATTATATGAAACTATAGACCTATTTATTTATAACTTTTATATTTGTTGATGATTTGAGACTATTGATGATTAGAATTTTCAACAAGTTTTTATTGTGTTCCAAACTTTTATTTAGAGTTTTTAATGACTATTATTTATAATATTTTGGGTTTTTGTTTAAGGGTGTCTAAAGAAATTTAAAAATAAAACAGAAAGACGTTTTTACAAGGGTTAAGTCCAAAAAAATACAATTAGAAAAAAATCAGATTTTATTATGCCCAACAACTCAGAAAAATAATAAAAAATATCAGGATGTTTCGGTCCCATCCCGACTAGGACCAGGACAATACCAGGACGGGACAGGACAAGAGACAATTTTGTTATCCCGTTACTGTTCAACGGGACGGAATTGTGATAGGCCTGTCCCGATCTCGATCCGTCCCGTGAACAACCCTATTGATAATTACTACCCTTGCTTCTAATTATAAGAATTAATTGACTAATTTGAAGGGATTAAAAAATAAGTTAAGTTAGTTATTTGTAATAAATAAGTATTATTTTTTAAAAATATTCTTACTAATCAAGTGTACTGGTTAAAACTACTATTATTAAAAAAATTACCTTAGAAAAAATATATAAATATGAAAGAAAAATTGGATTGGGATCTTATATTTAAAATTAAAATAAAAATTAAATAAAATTTTATATTAAAAATGGGGATAGTAATTAACCTCCTGTGACTTTGGGTTGCGGAGAGGAGAATTTGGTATAATTCACGTTTATCCCAATTAGACACGTGCTCATTTGTACTACAATCCAGTGTTTGTCGGGCACAATGATAAGATCCTTCAAAAACCACTTCTTAATCGTAAAAACACGAAAATCTGTGAATAAAATTTTATCTTAATTAAGGGAGTGTTTGGTAAAAACAAAACCTAGGTTTCAGAATCACTTTTCCGCAAAACGAAGTAACTTCCTTCACATATTTACTTCGTAATCCGTAAAAGCACTTCTGAAACCATGGTTTGGTTTCTATCTAAACACCCCATAAGTCGAGCATGCTTATACATATTTATCATAAACAGTTCCAACAAGCACTAAATTGGCTAAAACCTTTGGTTAGGGTGTTAAAATTGGTTATGTTTTTTTTTTTTATTAGCTTTTGGATTTTTTCCCCACCGGCTCTTACTCCTTCTAATCTGGGTTAAATTAAAAATAAATTTTCCTAAAAACTGGAAAAAATCTCCTATTCTCCGGTTTTTAATATAGGACCTAATTCTTAAGTTAATTTGGTCCTGAATATAAACCTATTTTTCATATTTATCAAATTTTTAAATTATCCCTATAGATACTCCCTCAATTATAATCAAATAAGTGAGGGATGAAGGATATTAAGAAAGATGATTATAGTGTTTAGAAAAAATATGTTATATTTTTTATAATTAACTAACTTACTTAAATTTTTTAATCTAATCAAATTAGCTAAATAAGTTTTATATTTAAAAACCGGAGGAGTATTAAATTTTTTATTGATAAAGAGGGGTTAATAAAATTTTTTTTTTGGGTGTACGGGGATTAATAAATTTTTATACACAAAAGGTATTAGTACATTAGTACTCTGCAAAGTACGGGCACCCAAGGTGTTCTTTGTTTTTGGGTAAAAGGCATACAAGGTCACTTGTTAAACGTCTTCAACATAAAACCTGAACTGAGTATGTCAGCGCAGGGAAGTCACCGGCCCAAAAGAAAAAACTCAGGGGAGTCCATAGGAGCGTTTGCAGCAACAAAAAGTGCTTCTCTACAGAATCAAAATAAATTTCTCTGTAGTTTACCAAAAAAAAAATAAATAAATTTCTCAGTATATTTATTTTATATATTATAAAAATATTTTTAAAATTATAATTTGTTTTTATCTAAACACTCCTTGTTTTTTTATTGGCATGGTTGTGTTAGAGAGTTGAGTATTTTGCCTCCCTCCGCAGTTTTCCTCCATTTTCTCTTCATAATATATTTCTTGCTCTTCCCTCGACGTTTTAATTGTATTGCATCAATTTTTATACATTATATCACATATTCAGATATATTTTTTTATTAATCATAACAATATCTTGAAAAATATGTCACGTTCTTTAGAATTTACAAACAATAAAAACATACTCGTAGCAAAGTACACATTATATTTCGGCTAAACAAACAAAATACTACTTTCTATTTTTAATATAAAAATTCGTTTGATTTTTATTTTTGTCATAAATATAAGATCATAATATATTTTATCTTTTATACTTATCTTTTTTTTTAAGATAATCTTTATAATAATGGTAGTTCTAGTCAATGCATTTGATTAACAAGGATATTCAGAAAAAATAACACCTAGTTATTACAAATAATTAAGTTAACTAGTTTTTTTAATTTATTCAAATTAGTCAACTAACTCTTATATTAAGAATCAGAGATAATATGTATTTTTATTTTAACTCACAATGATAGTATGTATTTTTTATTTTAACTCACAATCTTTTTTCCTAACAAATTCACGATCTATATTATGCTTCTTTGACACGGATTGACAAGTGATAACTCACCGTATGTTTTTGGCCAGCGCTAGTGATAACTCACTATTACGAATTGAAGATATTGTATTTACGCAATATAAAATATAAAGTGCCATTTCCCAATTAATTTTATATATTTGGGTCACACACCCAAGAAAAAATTTTCATCATAATTTTAACTTATTTATAATTTATTACTTACATTTTGACTCGTATAAGATAAAATTTATAGTTTTGATGCATTTGTAATTGTAATTAAATACTTGAACTTTACCTTATTATAGCTCAGTTTTTATGGCCTCAGTCATTTTATAATTTAATTCTTATTTTTATTAAATATATAATTTTATTTTTAAAAAACATATCAGAAATAAATTATAAAATGGTCAAACTATCAGGACCAAGTTGATCAATTGAGTTAGTGCGTTGCCATGAATCTAAACACAGGAATTGAGTCATAAAGAAGTCAAAAATTAGATAATCAAAAGATTAATTTTTCTTTTTATACAAAAATCATGACCTCCAGTTCTCACCAGAAGACCAGAACCGAAGTGAACTGAAAAGCGAAGACCGGGTTGGTCGTCAAATTTCCAGGGTTCGATTTCTTAACCGCACGAGGCCATGAGTGAAGGCTCAGAGGAAGGCATGAAGAGTGTGGAACCGAAAGTAAAAGCAGCAGAAGCAGGCCAAAAGGATTTGGTAGCCAAAGATGCAGACGACTCGGTGCAGAAGAAGAAAGACCCTACACTCTCCGATGCGCCACCATTTCTCACACACCAGTCTTCTTCTCTTCGAAGCCGCAAATCCCCGTCGCCCCCGGTCCAATCTTCTTCAGAATCACCGATTTCCGAGGGCCACTGCTCCCCCACTCCCACCCTTGACAAACGCTTCTCTCCTCCGCCACAAAACTCGCCGCCCCACTCCTCGCCGGACTCATCGATTTCCTCTGATCTCTGCTCCATCGCTGATGGAGCCCCTCCAGTCGAAGACCATCGCTTTTCCCCGAGGCCACAGGAAAAGCCTGCATCGCCGGTTGTGGTGGCCAATCGGTTTCAGGTGGAGCCGAAGGTGGTGACCAAGGTAGATCCGGGAGCCCAAAAGGGTGTCGTGGGCGTCAATGATGTCGAAGAAGGCACAGGCGCCGCCGGCTCCGGGAGCGATAATCGGCGATTAAGGCCAGACGTATACAGTTTATTGAGGTCAAAGAAAGAGAGCAAGTTGAACAAGGCTTTGTTGGGGCTTAGGATCGTTGCTTCTGTTCTCTGCTTGGCCTCCTTCTCGGTCTTGGCTGCTGATAGGGATAAGGGTTGGGCTCTGGACTCCTTCTACGTGTACAAGGAACTCAGGTACGTTGCTAATCAAATCTCGGGATGAGTTTAATTTTGCTGATCATATGAACAAATCGTTTCCGCTCCTGTCACCCAATTCAAGCTTTATGTTCATTTCAAGTACCAAGCTGCCAGCATGGTCTATACTCTATATTCATGGATTATTTTCATTAAAAATTTCTAGCTCTGATTTTTTAAAATCATTATATGATTGCAGGTATAATTTTTCCGTTAATGTAATAGGATTTGTTTATTCTGGGTTGCAAGTAATTGGCCTGGTTAACTACTTCATCACCGGAAAATACTTATCGCAGCATCGTCTAAGGGGTTTCTTCAATTTTTCCATGGATCAGGTAAGACAGTCCTCTCTTTCTGAGCTCTGTTTTTTCGCAAAAAGTAAAACCTCTTGCCTTTCTGTATCAGCAATGCATAATTTGTAGTATTGATTGGTGGCATTGATTCATGGACCTGAAAAAAGATACTACGTGGACTAGAGGGAAAAGTTTAAGCATTAGAGTATTATAGACTGCGACTGTGATTATAAATTACATGGCTTCTGGGCAGCTTTTGGACGCCTTTCTACTACTGCCTTCCCCCGGTTTATATGTTGCCTTTTGGCTTTCTTAAAGTTGTTTGTATTGCCTTTTCTTTTCTTATACTGCTGGTTCTAAAGTGAAATAATATATTTTAGTTCAGCATTATGGCCTTTCAGATATAAGTTCTTTACTTCAGAAACTTTTAGTAACAATTAAGGTTTCATGCGTTTCCTTGAACATGAGGAATAAGTCATATCAATCACAGCTTTATACTATTTGCTACTTATAGATAGTGGAAGTTATTAGATTATTTATTTTTTACGTTGATATTGGTATTGATAATTTCTTTTGTTTGTTATATAATAGATCAAGGAATAGTAAATTGTTGCTCCCAACTCCAATTCTATTCATATCCATGAGCAACGACGACTAGATTATGCCCTGTTATTCCTTATAGGAATAAAAGTAACCTTAATAACAAATTGAAATGAATAATTTTTTAGCCTCCAGGTGCATGAAACTAATGCATTACAGTAATAGAAAGTTTTAGACTTTTCGTCATTCTAAACGTTCTTGCTATAATTTGCAGCCTGAAAAGCTATATTTTGCTGCATGTGTTGCTCTTGCTTACATAGCTGGACAAGCTGCTGAAGTGGTTTTTCACTTTTTTGCACTGCAGATCTTGACTTATCTTCTAATGTCTGCATCATCAACGGCTGCTACAAGAGCTTATGACTGGGAATCCAACTGGGGCGAAGACGTGTTCCCAGAGATGGCTAATGCATCAGCAGGCTTATCCTTTGTTGCATTTGTGGCTTTTGCTTTAACCTCTCTTGTCTCTGGTTACGTCCTTTGCAAGTTCAGGTAGTTTATATTTTCAAATGATTGCCCTTGACACGCGCTTCTGTGTTATGATTGATGGAGTTTCGCCTTTTCCGATGGTTGAATGCGCTCGAGTTTCTGAAGAGGTGTATTGCTATTTCAAGCGTTGTACAGAAAGAGAGATGGATATATACTTCAATATGTTCATGTCTGTTCTATAGAATAGGATGTTTATAACCTGTTGTTTTTAATGTCTGTTTTGTCCCACAGATACCCGTTTATTTCACACTTTTTTGTTTTTTGGTTGGGGGTGGGGATATTCTCGTGTCAGGTCTTTATTTTATGCCTATTTTTGTGAATGATGTGTAATTTCGATTTATCTTTATTCGTAAATTTATGATTACTTGGAAGGAAAAATTTATGAGGAATTGTGCCTGCAAAATGACTGCTCGTGAGCAATTGTGTTAGTGCCGCGTAAAGGGCGCATGCAATTATTACACATTTACACCCGGCTATTTTTTTTTTTTTTGGGGGCCAACTTACTACCTAGTGAACATGAAATGCAAAGAAAGAGAAAAAAAATATAATTAAGATGATTTATATTGTTTATAATTGCCTATGATAATTATTATGAGTTTTATATATTATTTTATATTGATATCAATTCGTGGAGTAACTGAGCTTGGAAGTGGATGCATCACGAGTAAATTGGAGCCCGTGTTGAACTTTCTATGCTAGGGCTTGGCTATAAAATACTACCATATTCATGGGGGAAAAAACGAATCACTTTTAACATTTTCTTATGATTCTTAAAAGAAAAATTATTGGCAGCAAGCAGGGTCTTGCAAGCAAATGGGATGGGGCCTGATCCATTGCCCCTGGGCTCTCAATCTCATTTTTGATTTGGATGAAATGGACGGCCCACTGGAATCTGAATTGTACATATCCTCGGAAAGCAGAACCGCAGAAGATGCTCCACCCGAAAGGCATGGGGGGCGACTTTACATCCCCGAAAATGACGGAGGCTTAAAAAGCAATCATCGGTGGTGTAATTGACAACTGTGGCTGACCAACCCTTCATTTAATTGTCTAAATTTATAATAAATTATATTTTCAAAATGCTATGAATATACTATCTCCAGTCCTAAATATAAGAACTAATTAACTAATTTGAGGAGATTAAAAAAAATTCTCAATAGAAGGATTAGATAACTAATTTACGAATATTAATAGAATTAGTTATTTATAATAAACGAGTATTATCTTTTTTAAAATATCCTTATTAATCATACGTATTAGAATAAAAACTTTTTAATATGTTTGATTATTATTAAGACTTTTTTAAAAAATAAAAAAATATAATAAACAAAATAAATTAGAATTTTATATTTACACCAAATTAAATCTTCAGGGAAGGCTGAGTGCCGTTCCCATTGGCTTAGCCATCTTTTCTTTGTGGATGTGTTCATTTATTGTGAGCGGAGCTGGTCGCATCCGAAGTGTGATATTGGCAGCAATATGAGAAGAAAAAGCAATTGTGCAGCTTATCGTGGCATCCCATCGTTAGTGGGTTCATTGTTGGGTTTAAAGGGAATGGGTAAATAATGAAAAGGAGGACAGTTATCTTGGCCTTCAATTCCACTCCACCCGTCATTGTGTCTGTTAATGTCCTGTCTCCTTTCCCATTCTTGTCATGATTCACATGGCATGCCATGCATGACTGTCTCATCAAACCTAATTAAAAAAAATATCAAGTCACTAATTAACTGTGTTTGCAAATAAAAAAGACCTCTAAGTTTGTCCATATTTAATATAATGAATTTTATCATAGAACTAGTAATTAATGAGATTTTAAAATGTAATTTTAAAAGATACAATTAATACCAATGAGCACCATCCATCAACTTCCATTGATGGTCAGGGGGAAAAAAAAAAAGCTTTGTTTGTGATATAATTCCAAAAAGCGAAAACAAAAAAAAAAAGACTTTTGAGGTTTTGTCCAGTTTCGATTTTATTCCTTCTATAGGGTTTAAAAGCGCAAACGATTATAGATTTTGATAAACTCCCATCTTATTATCATAAATAATACTCAAGAGTCGTGATGTCCTACAATTTTTGTTAAAAAACAATTAATAGCAATAAATACATTAAAAAAATTAGATTTGCGTGGAAAGATGAATTTAATTATGATAAGGAAACCGAAGGGGAGCACATAAATGCATTGGTGTAAGAAGGTATACTGCTAACAACACATAAACACCATGAATTATTGGGAGTTTTTTTTTGTTTTTTTAATACCTGGATGTGATTCCCATGCGAAGCAATTACTGTATTGGGAAAACGACTAACATCGAATCCAATCAACTATCAATCTTTATATAGTGCATGTGATGTCAGAATATAAAATAGAAAAGGTACCTTTATTAAAAAAATAAAAACCAAAGACAAGGTCGCTTTAGTTAATATATTGTATTAAAACAAAATCAGTTGCCAAAGTGACTTCAACTTTTCGTTGCTAGTTTATCATCTATCCAGTAACAGTTAACTCATGTAACATATGCATGTTTTGTAAATTGAATATTTCTGCGCAAGGCATTTTTAGTAATACACGTGAAGCAATTATTGTAATAATATTATTAAAAAGAAAACAACTAACACCGAATCCGGTCAACTGTCAATCTTATATTAAAATAAAATCAATGGCCACATTGTTTTCAACTTTTCATTGCAAGTTTATTATTTACCCATTAACTGACTCGGCTAACATGTGTATGTTTTGTAAATTGAATATTTCTGCACATCCTGCAAGGCATTTTTAGTTGAATTAATTATTAAATTTAAAAATGTTATTTCTATTTTTCTTCCTAGAATAAGATATTCTTTGACCTCCGGTGAGTAAATATCGAAAAACGATGTCAAAACAAATGATTACATACTACCTCTTGCTTAATATAAAACTACTTGCTTGATTTTTATTTTGCTTATATTTTATAAGACTCTAATTTATTTTATTTTTTATATTTATTTTTTAAAATAATTATTGTAATAATAATAGTTTTAGTCAGTATATTTAATTAGTAATTATATTTTTTTAAAAAATAATTATTTATTAGAAATACCTAACAAGTATCCTTAATCGACTTAAATTCAGTCTGGAATCTGCGTCGCTCCCCATCTTTGCGGCCATAATCCACTGTCGTCCTGTAGAGAGGGTCTGCTTGCTTCTCTGCCATTTCTCTCCTCAGCGCCATTCTTCTCAGACATTATCCGTATGGCTGGTGCTTCTACTCCTACCATACCGTCTCACATGAAAGCCTGGGTCTATTCTGAATATGGTAAATCATCTGATGTTCTCCGCCTTGACCCTAATTTTCCTTTACCCCACGTCAAGGACGATGAGGTTCTCCTCAGAGTCGCCGCCGCTTCCCTTAATCCCGCTGATTACAAGAGAATGGCTGGCGTTTTCAAGGACACTGACTCTCCTTTACCTGTAAGCCTTTCTTTCCCCTCTTTCTTATTTGTGTTTTCACCACACTCTCACTTCTTAAGCGATTTTCTGACTGGCGATTCTCACTTCTGCGATTTTGTTAATCAGCTTGATCGTCATTTGTTGGGAGCGAATATATAAGGCTAAAATAATAAAATAATGGGGGAATCTATTCGATCTTAACTATTTATTTATTTATTATTCTCGATATGTTGATTTCCTAGCAGATAGATGGGAAGTTTAATTTGGGGGTGGGCAAGAACCTGAAAACAATGCCTTGATATGTTTATTTACTTTTCTAAATTGATTTCACCCTTTTTCGTTGCTGTGGGTGTGATGGATGTGTGCAGTGTGTTCCTGGATATGATGTTGCTGGTGTGGTGGTAAAGGTGGGAAGTGAAGTGAAGAAATTTAAGGTTGGGGATGAAGTATATGGTGACATTAATGAGAAAGCTTTGGATCACCCAAAGGTGGTTGGATCTCTGGCCGAGTATACCGCTGTAGAAGAGAAAGTGTTGGCCCACAAACCTCCAAATCTGAGCTTTCCTGAGGCTGCTGCCTTTCCTTTAGCCATGGAGACTGCTTATGAAGGGCTCGAGCGTGCTGGCTTTTCTGCCGGGAAATCCATCCTTGTTCTGGGAGGTGCTGGCGGAGTTGGAACCTTTGTTATCCAGGTACCATTTTTGTTGATACACCGACATGTTAAACAAGATGGTGCAGTGCTGAATAATTGAAATATTTTATTTATTTGTTACTTCGATGTAATGTTGTAAGTACGATGATTACTGATTGAGAACTAATGTTCATAATATTTTTTGTTTGATACAGCTCGCCAAGCACGTTTATGGTGCGTCGAAAATAGCAGCGACTTCTAGCACTGGAAAATTGGAGTTGTTGAGGAACTTGGGTGCTGATTTGCGTATTGACTACACAAAGGACAAATATGAGGATCTACCAGAAAAGTTTGATGTCGTTTATGATACAGTAGGTAAGATTTTGAGCCTATTTATATACATAGTAAAATTCTTTATAGGGGAGGAATTAGGCATTTTTCTTAATATCACGAACAGGAGAGCCTGAACGAGCATTGAAGGCTATTAAGGAAGGAGGCAAAGTGGTAGCAATAGTACCTCCTGCAAATCCACCGGCAATCATGTTTATACTGACTTCAGATGGGTTTAAGTTAGAAAAGTTAAGACCTCACGTTGAGAATGGCAAGGTGAAGTCCATACTGGATCCTAGGAGTCCGTTTCCATTTTCCCAGACAAAGGAAGCATTTGCCTACCTAGAAACTAATAGAGCCACAGGAAAAGTAGTGGTCTACCCTATCCCCTGAACTTTGGTCCGTCACTCCCCAGATTGTAGAATATGTTGCCCTTCTGTTTGAGGGAGACGATACAAATCGGTAATAAATATGTTCATGATGTGGTTGCTGTGGTTGTTATTTAGCATCTCTATGTGTACTTCACGGCTGAAACATTGTATCTGTATAAGCGGTTTTATCTTGGCATGATATTGTTACGTTAGGTTAATGCGATCTGTCAACTCCCTTAATATGATCACTCGGTGAATGTGACATCTTCAATGGAATAACTGAACTTGACAAAGTTATGCGATTTTGTCACTGTGTTGGGGTGTGATTTGCCGAGTCAAAATCTGAGAAGAACAGGTATTGGGGCATTCACTTTTCAGCTGTTTACGTGTTTAGATACTCACCATGCATAGGTCGCCAAACCCGAAGCAGAATGATTGTTGGTCGTAAGATATATATATATATATATATATATGAAAGAACGAACGGATCAAAGTCCTCTTTATTTAAATAATATCTTCTGCGAATGTAGTATGACATTGATGCTTCCTTTGGGGGGGGGGGGGGGTCCGGCATCCCAAGACAATAAAATATAAGAGCGGGGAGGGCAGTGTTGAATTTGGCTCTGTATCTCACTCTGTTTTGTCGATTCAAATGGAAACCGCGTGCCGTGCTCAGCGAATCTCTGTGCGCGGCATGTTCATCCCCCAGACGATGAGATGCCCGTCCCCTCCACTCCCCTCCCCTCCCCTCCCCTCCCCGCCCCTTCTCTCTCTCTAAATTAAAAATTTTATTAATATTTTAAATATTTTTTCAGTAACATTTAATATTTTAAATTAGTTAAATTTTAGTATATTAAGTATCCTGAAATAATTTTTTTAGTAACACTTAGTATTTTAAATTAATTATTTTCTAAGTAAATTTATCATCTTGAAATATTTTTTAATAACACCCGATATCCTAAATTAATTAACTTATTGTATACTAGAGTATTTTTTAATTAGTGAGTGTTGTTAGAAATATACTTTAAGGTGTTGGATGTTAATTAATTTATAATATTGGGTATTACTGAAAAATACTTCAGCTGCTGTATACAGTAAAAAATAATTAATTTGGGATAATGGGTATTATTGAGGAAATAGTTGATAATGCTAGATACATTAAAAATTACTTAACTTAGGATATTAAGTCCTACTGTAAAAGTATTTCGGAGTGTTAGATATATTAAAAAATAATTAATTTATAAAATTAGATGCTACTAAATAAGTATTTCAGATGCCGAATACACTAAAAATTAATTAATTAGGATTGTAATTATTACTGAAAAAAATTTTAAAATGCTGAATACACTAAATATTAATTAATTAATTTGAAATACTGGATCCTACTGTAAAAATATTTTTAAGACGCAGGATGCATTAAAAATTAATTGATTTAAAATATTAAGTGTTGCTAAAAAATATTTTAGAAGACTATATCCAACTTAACTTAAATAAAACAAACAAATAAAAATTATTTTAAAAAAAAGAAAGAAAGAAAGAGGGGGCTCCCGGCTCCATCCGCCAAACGCGCCGTTTGGGGAATGAACATGCGCTCCTCAGGAATTCGCTGAGCAGGGTATGCGGACTCATTCAAATAATATTCGACTCTCTCTCATTTCTCTCTCTATGGCCTTGTTTCCCCATACCATATAAGCTTGGGTGTACCCTGAATACGTGAAATCAAGTGAGGTTCTCAAGTTTGATCCCAACTCTCCGATGCCTCAACTTAACGACGATCGAGTTCTCATTAATAAGGTCGTCTCCGCCGCCCTTAATCCCTTTGAGTGATCGAGAACGCAGCGAATCTGAGGTTAAAGGTTTGAAAGCTTCTTTGAGCAGATTTTTTCTGAAAAAAATATAGAATTTTTAAAAATATTCTATCGGGTGTATTCCCCCCCCCCCCACCTCCCACCCCCAACTCCAAAAAAAAATTGTCTACAGCTCGTTGCTTTCCATCATTCACAAGACTACCTAAAAAAAGAATGCTTTTCTTCTCTCTCGTCTCACAGTGAGGCGGTAAGTAATACTCCTCTTGTCCTTAATATAGGACTCAATTCTTGAGTTGGTTTTGGTTCTAAATATAAAACTCATTTCTCATATTTATCAATTTTCTCTAAATTACTCCTATAGATACTTCCTCAATCATAATTAAGTAAAAGAGAGAGGGATATTAAGAAAGATGATTATGGTGTTTTAGGAAAAATGTGTCAATTTTGTTATAATTAACTAACTTATCTAACTTTTTTAATCTAATCAAATTAGTTAAATGGGTCTTATATTAAGGACTGAAAGAGTAATAAATAATAACTCAATAAAAAAAAAGTAATAAATAACCAATGTTTTAAACCCTCAACCAAACGCCACCGTGTCATGGTTATGTTAATAAGAGTATGGGTATTCTTGTATTAAAACATGGTTATTATGAGGCTTTCCCCTTTTTTTTCCCAGAAAATTGCATGCTTTTTTTTTATTATTGGATTATTTTAGTACTACGTTCAGTTTAATTATAAGACTTTATTTATATTTTATAAAATATTAATAGAGTTTTATGATTAAATGAATTCCCTGGTTTCAGTTTTACAATGTCATCAGTCTCTACTCGGTCAAAACTCATTCTTACGACGGTTCGATCCGTGCAGATCTGAAAGCATTGATAATAATTAATAAAAAATGAATAATTTATTAATAATTATATAATTAATTGTTTGGCTTTTAACATTTTTTTTAATCGCTGGTTTAAGGCCAAGTGCTGTTTCCAACGGCTTAGCCGTCTTTTCCTTCTAGATGTATTCATTTATTGCGAGGGGAGCTTGTCGTGTCTGAAGTGATATTGCCAACAAAATGAGAAGGAAAAGCAAGGTGGTGCAGATCGTGGTGTCCCATCATTAGTGGGCAGTGGGCTGATCGTTGGGTTTAAAGGGGAAGGGCAATAATGAAACGGAGGAGAGTTAGTCACAATATCTTGGCCTTCAGTTCCACTCCACCCGTAATTGTGTTTGTCAATGTCCTGTTCTTTCCCATTCTTGTCATGATTCATAAGGCATGGCATGCCTGACTATCTCATCAAACCTAGTAAAAAAAAAAGTCATTAATTAAATTTGTTTGCAAATAAAAAAGACTCATAAGTTTATCCATATTTAATGTTATGAATTTTATCTTAGAAACGGTAATTGATGAGATTTTCAAATGTAAGTAATTTTAAAAGATACAATCAACACCAATGAGCACTATCTATCTACTTCTATTGATGGTCAGGAAAAAAAAAAATCTATTTCTAGTATTTTCCCTAAAATGTGCCTTTAAAATAGTACCTGTAAAAGGTGGCTGATTTTGTACTGTTACTGGTGAACATGACATCTTGTATATTGATCTATTTATTTTTTTTAAAATTCATATGAACTACAAGTATTTCATAGTTTTGGAAAATAAATTATACTGCTAACAACACATAAACATTATGAATTATTGAGATTTTTTTTATCACGAAATATAATTTTTATGCGATGCATGCCCATGCCAGTTTTTTTTCTTCTTTTCTTTTGTTCTCACTTGGATGTGATTCCCAAGCGCAGCAATTACTGTGTTGAAAAAACAACTAACATCGAATCCAATCAACTGTCGATCTTTATCGAGTGCATGTAAGAATATAAAATAGAAAAGGTACATTTATTAAAAAATAAAAACAAAAGAAAAGGTCGCTTTGGTTAATATATCGTATTAAAATAAAATCAGCTGCCAGAATGTTTTCAACTATTCATTGCTATTTTATTATCTATCCATTAAGAATTAACTCGTTTAACATATGCATGTTTTATAAATTGAATATTTCTGCGCAAGGCATTTTTACTAATACACGTGAAGCAATTACTGTAATAACATCATTTAAAAAAAAAAAAACATCGAATCCAATCAACTACTACCTCCGGTTTTTAATATAAAATCTTGTTAGATTTTTATTTTTGTCCTAAATATAAGACTCAAATTCACTTTGTCTCTCATATTTATATATTTTTTTCCCTTAAAGTAGTCCTTCTAGTAATAGTAGTTCTAATCAATACACTTAATTAGTAAGGATATTTTATGAAAGACAAACACCTATTTATAACAAATAACTAACTCAACTTACTTTCTTAATCTCATCAAATAAGTCAACTAGCTCTTATAATTAGTATTGGAGGTAGTATCTATCAATCTCTTATCTAGTGACTAGTGCGTGTAAAAAGGTAACTTCAGTTATTAAAATAAAATCAATGGCCACAATGTTTTCCACTCTTCATTGCAAGCTTATTATTTACCCACTAACTCACCGAACATATGTATGTTTTGTAAATTGAATATTTCTTTTTTTATTACATAAATTGAATATTTCTGCACATCCTGCAGGCATTTTTAGTTGAATTAATTATTAAAATTAAAAATGTTATTTCTATTTTTTTTTCTAGAATAAGGTATTCTTTGACCTCCGGTGAGTAAATATCGAAAATGATGTCAAAACAAATAATTACGTATAACAACAAGGCTATATATCTTAATAATTAAAATCATATAATTTGAGAAACTAAGGCCAGCAACATAGTGAAAAGTCTTATGATTTGATCAATGCGGGTTGAAAATTTTATTAAAAAACGTACGAAACAAGGCACGTTTAATAAAAGGAAAACGTATTTGAAATTTTCACAGGCCCACAAGTGAGGGCTATGTCCAGAAATCATCATGGCCACATGCCGACGATGGTGCGTCACCAAACCCATCTTTGGCTTTATCTTTGTGTGCGAGAAGGCTCTGCCATGATTAAAGCATAATCATGGTTTTTACTTAATTTCATTAACAACTATTGTAAACTCCCGTAGGATGCGTGGCTGATGTTAATGACTAAGTATATCGATTTATTTGGAATGTTTTGGATAACTAACAGTAAAATTTAAAAATTGATTGGTTTCATACGATGAAGCAGCGAGTACTAAGCAATTATACATGTACATATATTTTAAGATTTGTTTAAAAATTAAAACAAGTAGGAGATAACCAAGAGAGAGAGGTCAAAGATTGGGTATTAGAAATCATTTGAATAGTTACAACAACAATAAAACCTTATTTCATTAGGTAGAATTAGCTATATGAATCACACGACATCATAGTATACTGTTAATAACCTAATTTTTAAATATGTTGTTAATCAAGAGAGTTGTTCAATCATGTGAATACTTAATATGGAGAATATTACGCATTGCAATGATAGGAAGAAATCATCATGTGTATATTTATAACGTGTAAATAATTAGGAATTTTAGCAAAAATGCGAAAAACGTGCGTGTTCGAATCGCACAATATAACCCGAGAGCGCTTCTAGCGTTCACCAACTCATTTTCAGTCTAGAATCTGCATTGCTCCCCGTCTCTGTGGTGATAATCCTCAGTCGTCCTGTAGAGAGGGTCTGTTTGATTCTCTGCCATTTCTCTCCTCACCGCCATTCTTCTCAGATACAATCCATATGGCTGCTGCTCCTACTCCTGCCATACCGTCTCACATGAAAGCCTGGGTCTATTCTGAATATGGTAAATCTTCTGATGTTCTCCGCCTTGACCCTAATTTTCCTTTACCCCACCTCAAGGACGACCAGGTTCTCCTCAAAGTCGCCGCCGCTTCCCTTAATCCCGTTGATTACAAGAGAATGGCTGGCTTTTTCAAGGACACTGACTCTCCTTTACCCGTAAGCCTTTCTTAGCTTTCCCCTCTTTCTTATTTGTGTTTTCATCAAACTCTCACTTCTTAAGTGATTTTCTGACTGGCCGTTCTCACTTCTACGATTTTGTTAATCAGCTTGATCGTCATTTGTTAACAATTTATTTATTTATTTATTTTTATTACTCTCGTTGTGTTGATTTCCTAGCAGATAGATGGGAAGTTTAATTTGGGGGTGGGCAAGAACCTGAAAACAATGCGTTGATATGTTTGTTTACTTTTCTAAATTGATTTCACCTTTTTTTCGTTGCTGTGGGTGTGGTGGATGTGTGCAGTGTGTTCCTGGATATGATGTTGCTGGAGTGGTGGTAAAAGTTGGGAGTGAAGTGAAGAAATTTAAGGCTGGGGATGAAGTATATGGTGACATTAATGAGAAAGCTTTGGATCACCCAAAGGTGGTTGGATCTCTGGCCGAGTATACCGCTGTAGAAGAGAAAGTGTTGGCCCACAAACCTCCAAATCTGAGCTTTCCTGAGGCTGCTGCCTTTCCTTTAGCCATGGAGACTGCTTATGAGGGGCTCGAGCGTGCTGGCTTTTCTGCCGGAAAATCCATCCTTGTTCTGGGAGGTGCTGGCGGAGTTGGAACCTTTGTTATCCAGGTACCATTTTTGTTGATACGCCGACATGTTAAACAAGATGGTGCAGTGCTGAATAATTGAAATATTTTATTTATCTGTTACTTCGATGTAATGTTGTAAGTACGATGATTACTGATTGAGAACTAAATGTTCATAATATTTTTTGTTTGATACAGCTCGCCAAGCATGTTTATGGTGCGTCGAAAATAGCAGCGACTTCTAGCACTGGAAAATTGGAGTTGTTGAGGAACTTGGGTGCTGATTTGCGTATTGACTACACAAAGGACAAATATGAGGATCTACCAGAAAAGTTTGATGTGGTTTATGATACAGTAGGTAAGATTTTGAGCCTATTTATACAAATAGTAAAATTCTTTATAGACGAGGAATTAGACATTTTTCTTAATATCACGAGCAGGAGAGACTGAACGGGCATTGAAGGCTATTAAGGAAGGAGGCAAAGTGGTAACAATAGTACCTCCCGGAAATCCACCGGCAATCATATTTATACTGACTTCAGATGGGTCTAATTTAGAAAAGTTAAGACCTCACGTTGAGAATGGCAAGGTGAAGTCCATACTGGATCCTAAGAGTCCGTTTCCATTTTCCCAGACAAAGGAAGCATTTGCCTACCTAGAAACCAATAGAGCCACAGGAAAGGTAGTGGTCTACCCTATCCCCTGAACTCCGGTCCATCACTCCCCAGATTGTGGAATATGTTGCCCTTTTGTTCGAGGGAGACGATGCAATTCGGTAATAAATATGCTCATGATGTAGTTGCTGTGGATTTTACTCAGCATCTCTATATGTACATCATGGCTGAAACATTGTATCTGTATAAGCGGTTTTATCTTGGTATGATACTGTTACGTTAGGTTAATGCCATCCGTCAACTGCCTTTATATGATTGCTCGGTGAATGTGACATCTTCAATGGAATAACTGAATTTGACAAAGTTATGCGATTTTGTCACTGTGCTGGGGTGTGATTTGCCGAGTCAAGATCTGAGAAGAAGAGGTCTTGGGGCTTCGTGATTCACTTTTCAGCTGTATACATGTTTAGATACTCACCATGCATGGGTCGCTAAACTCGAAGCAGAATGATTGTTGGTCGTAATATATATGTGTGTAAGAAAGAACGGGTCCAAGTCCTCTTTATTTAAATAATACTTCTCCGATTCTAAATATAAAACTGTTATACACTTACATAAAGATATTATATTTAGAATCGGAAGATCTTGAGCGAATGTAGCATGACATTGATGCTTCATGAAGGGGGAAAAAAAACTTCCGCGTCCCATTACGATAAAATATAAGACAGGGGAAGGCAGTGTTGAATTTGGCCCTGTATCTCACTCTGTTTTGTCGATTCAAATGGAAAAAAAATGGAAACCGCGTGCCGTGCTCGGCGAATCTCTGAGCACTAGGCACGCTCATCCCCTAAACACTGTCGTTTTGGGATGAGATGCCCACCCCCTCCTCTCTCTTCTTTTGTTTTTTGTTTTCTAGATAATTTTTTTAATTTATTTGAGTTAACTTTTACTTAGCATTCTAAATATCGTTGCATTACCATTCAGTATTTTACTTAACTTGTACTTAGCATTCTAAATATCGTTGCAGTACCATTCAGTATTTTACATTAGCTAAATTTTAATGCATTAAGTATTCCGAAATACTTTTTTTAGTAACACTTAATATCTTAAATCAATTATTTTTTAATTGAATTTATCATATTGAAATATTTTTCAGTAACACCCGATATCCTAAATTAACTTACTTCTTGTATATTAGATGATTTTTAATCAATATCTTAAATTAATTATTTTTAAGTGAATTTATCATCTTGAAATATTTTTTAATAACACCGGATATCCTATATTAATTAACTTATTGTATATTAGAGAATTTTTAATTAGTCAGTATTATTAGAAAGATACTTTAGGGTGTTGAATACGTTAAAAATTAATTTATGATGTTGGGTATTATAGAAAAATGCTTTAGGATGCTGTATGCAGAAAAAATAATTAATTTGGGATAGTGGGTGTTACCTAGAAAATAGTTCATGACGCTAGATGTACTAAAAACTAATTAACTTGGGATACTAGGTCATACTATAAAAGTATTTCAGAGTGTTAGATACACTTAAAAAATAATTAATTTATAAAACTATATGATACTAAAAAAAATATTTTAGGATGCTGAATACTCTAAAAATTAATTAATTCAGATACTAAGTATTATTGAAAAATATTTTAAAATACTGAAGGCACTAAATATTAATTAATTAATTTGAAATACTGGATCTTACTGTAAAAATATTTTAAGATATTGGAGGTATTAAATATTGATTGATTTAAAAAACTGAATGCTGCTAAGAAATATTTTAAAAGACTATATACAACTTAACTTAAATAAAACAACAAATAAAAATTATTTTTAAAAAAAAAGAAAAAGAAAAGAAAGAGCGGGCTCCATTCCCCAAACGCGCCGTTTGGGGAATGCGCATGCGCTCTTCAGGAATTCGCTGAGCAGGGCATGCGGGGTTGCGGACTCATTCAAATGATATTCGACTCTCTCTCATTTCTCCTTCCATGGCCTTGTTTCCATGGCCATATAAGCTTGGGCGTACCCTGAATAAGTGAAATCAAGTGAGGTTCTCAAGTTTGATCCAAACTCTCCGATATCTCAACTTAACGACGATCGAGTTCTCATTAATAAGGTCCTCGCTGCCGCCCTTAATCCTTTTGGTTTGGTTCCATTTAGTAAGAAACATTCAAAATTAGGAATACATATTGGGATTGAGATTGAGATTGAGAAATTTATTAAGAAAATATTTAGTGTGAGATATTACTTGTTATATAGGATTAGCTACACTCATATATGTGGGATCAAAGTATATTATGAGGGGAAGTGGTATTTCCTAATCCTATCTCTATGGGTTTACCTAATCTCATATAACAAGTAATTACTGATGTTAAATACCATTTTAATAATTTTTTTCAATGATAATTCTAATTTCTGTCTCTTATTTTTAATGTTTCTTATCAAACAGGACTTCTTTGAGTGATGGAAAACATAGCGAATCTCAGGGTTGAAGGTTGAAAGCTCCTTTATGCAGATTTTTTCTTAAAAAAATCTGGAATTTTTGAAAATATTCTTTCTGGTGTATTTTTCAACAAAAAAAAATTGTACAGCTCATTGATTTCCATCATTCGAAAGGTTTTTTTTTTTTTTCCAGTCAGAACATCATTCATAAGGTTAGCTATAAGAATTCTTTTCTTCTCGCTATGGTCTCAAAGTGAGGGGGTAAGTAATACTACCTCCAGTCCTAATTATAAGACCCAGTTGATTAATTTGAGGAGATTAAGGAAGTAAGTTAAGTCAGTTATTTGTAACAAATAAGTGTTGTCATTCCTAAAATATCCTTGCTAATTAAGTGTGTTGGTTAGAACTATAATTATTAGAAGGACTATCTTGAGAAAAAATACATAAATATGAGAGACAAAATGGATTGGGGTCTTATAATTAGGACCAAACTAAAAGTCAAACGGGGTCTTATATTAAGGACCGGAGGTAGTAATAAATAATAACTCAGTAAAAAAAAGTAATAAATAACCAATGGTTTAAACCCTAAACCAAACGCCACCTGTCATGGTTACGTTAATAAGTATGGGTATTCTCGTATTAAAATATGGTTATTATGGGGCTTTCCCTTCTTTCTTTTTTTTTTTTTGCGGCACATTTGGTTATTTGAGCAATTATTTAAATGAGCTCCCTGGTTTCAGTTTTATAATGGTGTCAGTCTTTAGTCTTTACTCGGTCAAAACTCAATTTTACGACGGTTCGATCCGTTCAGATCTGAAAGCATCGATAATAATTAATTATTAATGATTATATAATTAATTGTTTCGCTTTTGACACCTCATATGCTCGGCTATAGTAAAGGCCCCCGGTTCTTTGTGGGAATATTTAAATGCTTTAACTTTAAACTACAATTGAATTAATACGTTCCTTTGGTGGATACATATCATCTCGGAGAAGGAAGGGGATCGACTTCTCGCATAAATCATGCTGCCTCTTATCCTAAATATAAGAACTAGTTAACTGATTTGAGTAAATTAAGAAAAATAATTAAATTAGTTATTTGTAATAAATAGGTATTATCTTTCCTAAAATATCCTTGCTAGTTAAGTTTATTGGCTAGAACTACTATTATTAGAAGGACTGTATAAAAAAAATAGATTAGAATCTTATATTTGTGATAAAAATAAAAATCAAATGATGTTTTATATTAACGACTGGAGGTAGTATTAAATGAAAGGTGAAAAGGAAAAAGGATTTATTAGAAAGTCGAACTGATTGAATCTACTTTCAGATTTTGTTGCATGTTAGTCCTTCCTCCTATCAATATTATGAGTTTGAAATAGTTAATTCACGAATAACAAACAATTAGTTAAAATTAGTTAAAAATAATAAATAGGTTGTAAATATATTTTTGTTTCTATATGTGTCTTTACAATAAATGAGAAAAAAAAAAAATGTGTGAAAAAATGTGATAACATAGATTATGGTAAAAGAGAGAGAATGAACAATTAAGGATAAAATTAGAAAAGGTACATTACATATTAAGACAAACATCAAATTAAAACTTATAAAATAGATCACACCTCCTTCGCAATTTGAAGCTTATAAATAGGAGCGGAGAGAGTAGTAATTAGGTTCTAACACGTGGTCTTTTCCGAGTTTTTTTTTGGTATTTGTGGAACAACAAGAAAGGCTAAAGGTTGGATCCAGCAGAACCGCAGAAGAGACTAGGGTTTGAATTGTTGTTCAGAGAAGTACCCACATATTTCAGTGTCTGAAAATGTCGACAACAAGATACGAGAGTTTATCTGCGCCTATTAAAAAAATAAAGGAAGCGGTCCGAGTTGAGTCAACAGACGATTGGCGTAACGACTGAGAGTACTACATTTGGCCGTGGAACCATGCTTCTGTGTTTTTACCGCAGATAATTTGATGCTCGCTTTCAACATTCCTATGCTGCGATCTCTGCACATTCCCTCCATATATTCTAATTCTGACTCTATCCTTTCATCTCTTCACTCATATTAAGGGGAGAATTTCTATCAACTGTGTAGTTTTTAATACGAATAATTAAAGAAATATGTTTTAAAAAATTAACTCAACATTTTCTCCAAAAACAAAATGTAAGGCTTTTCTTGCTTTTCCTGAAGTGCACCAACACGTGGAAGTATATATGCATGGGAATTCCGCTGGGATTGAGATAAGAGGAATCCTAAACTAAAGTGGCACAGGGAAAAGGAAACAGAACGGGGCAGTGGAGGCGACCGCGCAAGTTGCAGGTTGAAAATAAATGAATGAACAATGGAGGGTTTAATAACAATGAGGGGGGAAAGTGTTTGGGATTTGGGAATATGGAGATAAGGTACTTGAACTTGATAATGATGGGGGTACATTGGAACTTAGGAGGCTGTGATTGGAGGGGCAAGTGCAACTTTAATTTCTATGCCCAGACGTTGACTTGGGATTGGAACACGTACATGGAATGAGAATTTGTCAGAAAAGACCTTTTTGACCGTGGGGAGGCCCATATCGGATTCCTCATTTGGGCACTCTCCCAGCTCCAGCCTCCGATCCCAATATCCCCGCAGAATATCTTTCTTCATTTTAAAAAATATTAAAAATAATTTTTTCAATCCTTTCAAGTTCATAATACTCAGGTTAGTAGGTAAAGTAGAGCTGTTGCAGCGTCCAACGGTGCCCTGGCACCCCACCGGTGGACACCTGTTCATGGCTGTGGTCTTTTGAGCTTTAATGAAGGAACCTCGTCGACAGAGCAATGATCAAAATTAGATGCATGGAGGCTAAATTTGCATTTGGCTGGTTGGTTAGTTATTTTGTTTAGATCCTTTGTTTTTAGTTTTAAAGACTCTCTGGTTGTTGTTTTGTGATTAAAGAATTCATTTTTGACATCCAAATATTTTACGGGGAATTATATTATGTTCAAGGATCAGATCCACGAATTTTTTTTTTCAAATAACCACGAGAACTAAATATTCGTTGATTCACAGGTAAATTTATTGTGTCGTCTAAATGGTAAATAATGTTAAATTTCTTTTTAGTTATAAATTTAAATGGTAAATACTCATGGTTCCACTGTCAAACCGAGACTAGTAAATTTCAGAGCTTTCCCAGTAATTAATTTATGAACTTATTTTTTTAGAATAATTCATCCTTTTTATCACCTCTTAATCATATTCTTTTTTCAATAATAATTATTTATTTAAAATCATTTATGCACACAAGTGTATGCATAAATAACACTACATCTGATCCATGATATAATATCTAATTTGGAGTTAAATTTGTTGCTAAATATAATACCTCGATTCATTTTGTCTCTCAAATTGTAATGTTTTCTTCAAAGTATCTCTATTGATTGTAAGGGTTTCCACCAAGAGATAGTATCAATACACATTATTAGAGAGTGTTAGTTTGTAATTTAGAAAAGCTAACATACATTTATTACAAATATCTAGTTTAACTAACTTTTTTAATATCCTAAAATTAGTTACATAACTCTTATATCTATAACTGGAGATTTATACTATTTTCGGTCCTTAATATAAGAGCTAACTGACTAATTTAAGTAAATTAATGAAATTAGTTAAGTTCGTTATTTATAATAAATATATGTTATATTTTCTAAAATATCCTTGTTAATCAAGTATATTGGTTAAAACTACCATTATTACAAGGACCACTTTGAGAAAAAATAGATAAATATAAAAAACAAAATGAATTAAAATTTTATATTTAAGATCAAAATAAAATTTAAACAAACTTTTATATTAAGTACTAGAAGATAGTAGTTTATAGCAATTCGAATTCACTGCCGAGTGCTAACGTAAAATATTGGAAGGCATGACGGCCCGTGGTAATCAAACTTCCCAATAAGACATTTTCAAAAATCTTGATCACCAATTGTTTTAGGATACAATATCCTTGCGGTGAGAAATTTTATCGTCGTTAAATGTCTTAACGGTGAGAAATTTCTGTATTACTTTTTCAGACTTGCAATATTTTTACCTATCGATTGTTGTTCCCACTTCCCAGACAGTGAGATTCTCATGAAGATAATATTTCTCAATTTTTCCTACATCATAAGAATTTAAATTTTAGACTACACTATTCAAATCGCATTCCACAGTCCACGTTTAACACTATTATAAGCCTCATCTTTCCCTCATTAGTTCATGTTTGAAAAATTGACAATGCACCATGTGATGACTGAGGAGGAGCAAAATCTCAAGTCAAATTCATAATCAAAGTGGTCAGCTGAAAATACGACGAAATTAAACAAAGGGGTTTAAAAATTAAATCATGGGTCCTTTTGTTTTGGTTAACGAGTGTATGTATATCAGTGCTCATTAATTCGCACACTTACATCATCCAGATAAGATATTTTATATGCATGGAATCCAAGCACAATCAACGAGCAGTAAACATGAAGTGCCTCATTAAATAAATAATCAAATCATACTGCTATATATATATTGTTTATTGATTTGTCTTACATATTCCATGTAGCGTAGTTCATACTATGAAACCTAGTATCCCATATCCGTGCAGTGCAAGCTGCTCCATAAGTCCCATGATATCTGATGAAGATTACTAACTAAAACTTCTTAATGCCCAGTGGGATTGAGGGCTCTTCTTTGCTTGACTATTTTTTTTTCATTTTATTTTATTCCCTAGCTAATAGAAATAGAATGTATAATAATAGTTGAGAGCGATGATCATCTGATGTGCACGAGCATAATTGAGATCTTGTTTGGAAGCAGAACTAGACGGAGTCGAGGCACCAGCAGTAATAGTCAGACCTGGAGATTGCCAGCATTTGTTCTGGGGTCATTCTTTCCAGCTCTCTTTGCCTCCACGAAGCAAAGTTATTCTTATTTTGAGGATCTGAAGCCAAAGGGCGCTCCTCCTTTTTGTGTGGTTGGGATCTCATCCTCATGTACAGCCTCATCGTTGCCACGCAATCCTCATACGGATCCTGTATCCCTGTCTGAATGTCATACCTGCACATATTTAAACTCAAGCTAATTAGCTTCGTTCTCTTCACACACAAGGGGGAATCAAAAAGTTTTCTCTTTTATTAAAGATACTTGCCCCAGATATGCTTGTGTCAAATACTTGAGTGAGTTGCTCAGCTTGCTCGTCTTCATCAATGGAGGGTATTTTTCTGTGTCCCTGATGATGACACAGAACATTTGGTCAATATGAATTTAAAATTTTTCGGTATTATTTAACAATTACTAGAGCATATGTCCTCAAATAATTTTAGTATTTACTACCTGATCATTTCTGCTCGATATTCCACTTGCAAAGACTCCAGGTCATGATCTAACCCATGGCCTACTAGAATCCTGGCTCTCCCACATTTTGGTCGGACCTTCCACAAGGGTTCCCCGTTGCAGAGGAAGTCCTGAATCTTCCTCTGCACTTGCCTCGTCGTCATTGCATCCCTCAGGTATTCTGGTCGAATACCTGTTTTCTCATACCTGTCAAAAGTTTTAGCGGCCTAGTTTAGCGCATCCGCTGTAAGTATATATATGATTAGAGATTTCAACTGTGTGTCGAACCTGTAGTTTGTGACAGGAATTGGGGGCTTCACGTAAGAATGGAATATGATGTTTTCTTGTTCATCAATTATGCAGACTCTTGCACAGAGATCCAGTGAGCCATCACTGCCACCTCCGACCATTTTGCAAGCAAGTGCAACTACCTGTGGCCCTCTTCCAATAGTCAAATTATCACGAATACCCAGGTTTGAAAAGCGTCCAATTAGTCCCTACAAAGGGTGGAAGAATTTGCACAAACAGTCAGCACCGAGGAAGAACATATTGCAAATTCTGCAGTTATGCTAAGTGAGGGATTGGTACAGTGTTTGCAGAAAGTTGGCATCTTTCTTGGTGGATCCTTCGAGCGTAGGGGCTGTCAAGGACCTTTAAGCAAAACTTGCATCCTCGGTTGGCAAAAATATCTCTGCATTCCTGTTTTGGCAATGGACCTGGAATAGCGGAAATTTTTTGTCTCACAATCTAGATATTTTCTTGAATGATACACAGTTTGGCTAGAAAAATAGAGAATTGAAGAAGATTACCGATAAGGTGTTCCCTTAGAGACTCAAATGATCTGCAGTGTTTCCCGCAAATGCCGCAGGTGGGTTCGTGAACCGAATGATATGAGATCCTCATGTGCTCCACTAAGTGCTCCAACTTGTTGAACTGCCTAAAGCATGCCGCACACTTGTTCCTGTCCCAATTAATTCTCTGTTACTAGTGCCTAAATACTATAATTACTATTTATGATGATTTATCTGATATGTGCTAACTCTGTGTATGTGTATTGTGCGGCATGCAAGGGCATTTCCGCATTAGATCGAGTGAGAGAACGAACCTGTGAGTTTCCCCGTGGTCGATTCTGCTGTCCATGTTTGTTTGTTTGCTATGAAATCTATACTGCTCAGGAAAGGCGTAGATATCTTAAAGAGAGGACTTGAGGTTAAGGAAAGGAGGGGGAGTGGTATTTATAAGAAGTGGAAGATGGCAGAATCGCTCCAAGTTGCATGTACCAGCGATTCCTCTCTGGGTATTATACCGCATTATATTATGGATTTGTCCTTTTGTTCCTCTCTACCCGATTTTTATTATACCTTTTCCCTTCCCTTTTTACCTGATCGTTGGGCTTGTATCATTAGCAGCTGACTTTGAACATTCGTTACGATCCATATTCCATATGACAGGGTCCATTCTTTCAATTCGAATATCTTCTCTCGCTGCTTTCTCTGACTCTTGCCATCCCACGTGGCTTTAATATGCCTTTCATGGTTGCTGCTGAGTCTAAATTAAATTGTCTTGTTTGTGCATTTCCTTGTCTGTGTGATAGCTAGGGTTGAGCAAACTCCTGTTAATAATACAGAGAGTAACCCAAACGCATCGAGAATCATATGGTGATTTGATCTGTCTCGCACGTTCTCTTCTTCTGTTGTCCCACGCGAGAATTTGACCGAGAAAACCATACCCTGACACATGGGGATATATAGTGGCATTAGAAGTATATATGCCTTACTGAAGCAAGATGACAAAATCATGATCATTCATGCATGGGACTAGGCCTTTCTTCGTGTTATGGCCTTTGACTTGGAGGAACATTCAAGCATACGTAATGTTCTAACCACAAGGTTATTGTGATTCTGAGATTGTCCACCTTAGTGCTTGATGCTGAAATATGTTAACAAGGATTTGTCTATTCCTTTTACTCTCCTTTACTTGCATCAAACGTTGACTATAGTAACATCTGCAACTCCGTACTGGAATTCCAACAGCTTCGAATCAGAAGATAATCCTAAATGCGTCCAGGGATCGAAGGAAACAGACTGTAATGCAGAAGACACAGCAACGTACTCGGGGATTGAAATTAAAGTTGAAAGTATAGGTTCTTAAAGACGATGAAGAATAGGGAACCTTACGACGCAGGGGCTAAGATGCGTGGAAGTGGAGAGACAAGATCATAATTAAGATCTTTACTCCTTACTCATCGTATTCGTATTGTGGAGTAAGGGAGGCATCTATTTTTGTCTTCAAGCTTGCCGTAATTAAAGTGCTCCCCCCTCTCTCTATCAACGCATGCTTTAGGGTAGGGGGTTGACTCAGAGAAAATTTCAGCAGGACCTTCTTTTGACAATGGAGGTCCAGAATCCAGATAGATTCGTCATTTATCCAATGGGAACCACCTAGAGAGAAAGTTGGCATCGGGCGGAATATCTTTTCGTTATTACAACTTTGTAAGTTCTAGCTTCCTCTTCCAGTTGATGATTCCTTCGCCTTCTTCAATCCCCAGCCTATATTTCTAGTTGAGATAGATCAGGAGGTGAAATACGATAGACAACAAAGGATTACACGCACAGGATTAACGTTAATTTGTTTGAACATATTAATATTGTTAACTAGAGTAAATCTGGTGTGTTTGTAAAATATTTGAGATAAGCCATCGCCATACTTCTTTGTATCTTAAATGTTGTATCGATGATGATGTGATGAATAGAGTGAGGACCAGAGTTGAATTTTCTAGATGTCAAAAGACAAAAGACAAGAGAAGAGCAATATATTCTGAGGGAAGAAATTAAAGCAGGTGGTGAAGGGGGAGTTGCGTTTTGGGTGTGGACCTTGGTGATGGTCAAAAAGCAAATCCATTACTCAACCCATGTCCAAGTGCTTACGTTCTGTCTGCAACAAAGACATGATGAGCACAGTCCGGGACCATCCTCTTCCACCTCCCTATTAATACTCGTCCGGTCTTTAATATAGAACCTAATTTTTAAGTTATTTTTTTATTTTAAATATAATACTAATTTCTCACATTAATCCTAAACCCTTAACCATAATCAAGTAAATGAGGAAGAGAAGATATTAAGAAAAATGATTATGGTGTTTTAGAAAAAACATATCATATTTCTTATAATTAACTAATTTACTTAATTTCTTTAATCTAATCAAATTAGTTAAATAGGTCTTATATTAAGGATCGGAGGAGTAATATTCTCACCAATCACATCTCAAATTCCGATCCAAAAAAACACAGTGATGACATAGTCAAAAATGAGCTGGTCCGTCAACTTTGACCCTCTGATATATATATATATATATATATCTTGGCATGATCGATCAAAATCATCACTCTATATCAAACTCAACATCTAAAATCTCAACAATACGAACACAAGCCACATTATACTGGGGAAAATATAGAACCCCAAGGCCCAGTTAATCTGAGGTGAGTTCAATATCCATACATGCGCACATGCACAGAATCCAGGTCGTCGCTTCACTGGACTGCGAGCATCAAGTGTGTTCAATTATTTGTGTGAGAAAAAGGCCAAAAAGAAAATTCTTGACTCTTATTACAGAGCTCGTCTGTACCACCAAAACAAAGAGAAGATCCTGCTATCATATATATGTTTTTGAAGACCACACACAGTCATCATATATACAAAATAATGGTCAAACTTAAGTTGGCGTATATGTGTGAATAATGATGCCATAATTCTAAAACGCATCCATCCACATCGTTTTCAAAACCCCAAAATCTACTTGGCCCCCGAAACAGCCTTTAAATTCAAGAGATTGAACCCCAGTCTCTGACCAACGAACATACGCGTGTGCTTCAGCACTGTTGTTGTTAGTTATTATTGCTGCTTCTGGGATTAATATCGGGTATAGCTGGCTTATGATTAAAAAGTGTTTGGGTAGATACAAAACTATAGTTTTAAAATTATTTTTAAAATATACGAAATAAATATATAGAAAAATTTATCTCTATTTATAAGAAAATACTTTTCAAGAGTACTTTTAGAGTTAAGTAAACGCCCCTAAGTCGTACATGTTGATAGAGGAACACTTCATGTCATATAAGGATCTTAATTAAGCTTTTTCACATAAGCAGAGGTGATGCTTATCCACCACACATCCACAGGTTTTGAGGAATATGTTGACTTTGCGAGCGCAGAGAAAAAGATCAGAAGCAAAATCATAATGTCGCCTAATCATACATTGATTGCAAGTACCAGCTTTTTTTCTTTTTTTCGGGGAGAAAATTTAGGACAACTAAGTTACATGGATGCCGACATACAGAGTTGGTTCATTTTGCAATGATTCGGTTTATATCTCGCAAGGTGGTAACTTTAAATCTTACTCCCTCCGTCCGTTTCTTATTATAAGAGACAAATAACTACATTACGTTGATAAGAAAACAGTTAAAATTAGTTTAGGACAATTAATGTGTAAAGAGTATAATATTTTTTTCAACAATACCTCCATTAATAAGGAGAGAGAGTATGAGAGAGAACAATTAAATTAATAAAAAAAGAGAAGTGGGAGGAAGAGAGAGTATGAGTTGAAGACAAAATAAATAGGGGTAAAATAGAAAATCAATATAAAAATAGAGACAATTTTTAAGTGTTTCTTATATATGGGAACATGCCATAAACATCAAAAGATTTAGAGCTTTTTTTGTATTAAAAAAAAAAAAAAGAAGCACACGAAGTTTTGTGCCCCACATATAGTTTGGGAAAAAAAAAATCAATTTTCCATTTAGTTTTGATGCAGACACGTCTTCAGGGTGAGGAGCATGTTTTTGCAGTAATCTATGATTAATTCGAAGTCAAACTCTTCCGTCACCCTCGGTAAATTAAGAAAAATATCTGACGGCGTTTTTCTATATTAAATCAGCATAAATAGTACTCCTCCGGTCCTTAATATAAGACCTAATTGTTGAGTTAGTTTTAGTCTTAAATATAAGACCCATTTCTCATATTTATTAATTTTCTCTAAATTACCCCTATAAATACTCTCTTAACTATAATCAAGTAGAAGAAGATGATGAGTATTAAGAAAGATGATTATAGTGTTTTAGGAAAAATATGTCACATTTCTTATAATTAACCAAGTTATCTAACTTTCTTAATCTAATCAAATTAGTTAAATGGGTCTTATATTAAGGACCGGAAGAGTACTATTTTCAGTCCTTAATATAAGAGTTTATTTGACTTTTATTTTTGTCCTAAATATAATCCCTCAATTCACTTTGTCACTCATATTTATCCTCTCTTTTTTCAAGGCAATTCTTGCAATAATGGTAGTTCTAGTCAGTATATTTGGTTAGCAAGGATGTTTTAGAAAAGATAACACCTATTTATTACAAATAACTAACTTAATTATTTTTTTAATCTATTCAAATTAGTTAACTAGCTCTTATATTAAGAATCATAGGTAATATAAGTCATATGCCTCAGATTTTTTTAAGCATAATTTATATACTCCTCCGGTCCTTGATATAAGACCCATTTAACTAATTTGATTAGATTAAGAAAGTTAGGTAAGTTAGTTAATTATAAAAAATGTGACATGTTTTTCCTAAAACACCATACTCATCTTTCTTAATACCTTCTCTCTCTTCTACTTGATTATGGTTGATGGAGTATCTATAGGGGTAATTTAGAGAAAATTGATAAATATGAGAAATGGTTCTTATATTTAAGACTAAAACCAACTCAATAATTGGATCTTATATTAAGGATCGGAGGAATATTTTGTAAAATTTATTTTTTAGAAATTTTTTATCCTCCATTTAATGTCAACACTGGTTTACATTTTATCCACCTCTATTTAATTATTCCTTCCATCTAGTAAGGATCTTATTGAAAATAAATAATAAGCATACCTTTAAATTTGGAATAAGGCATATTTTCAAGAGAAAATAAAAATTTCAATTCGAATAGGTAAATGGAGAGGGAAAGAAGTATAAGGTGTTCAAGAATTGTCTGAGTTATTCGTTTTTTAAACTCAAAATGCCATTTGTCAGGGATGTCGAGTAGAGTATATATTAAATTATTGATGACTTTCATGGAATGAGGATATTTTTAAGGGGGAAAAAAGATTAAATCGAGAGCATTTTTTCACGATGCTAACTAATTTTTTTTAGGGAAAATGACAATAAAATACCACCTGAATTCCAAAAAGACAAATAAGGGACCTGAATAAGCAAAATGACATATAGGGGACTGGGTACCAATCTGGAATTCAGATTTTTGGCCAAAAGACCAAAATGCCCTGTCTGAAAGTGAGAGAAAGGAGAGAGGAAGACCGACGGTGATGAAATGCGGGAAGAAGGAAAGAAGAATGTTGGAAATGCTATTATCTTACTCCTTCGCATCACCATTCTGTAGAGATTGTTGATTTGGTGGGTTTTGGTTGTGGGAAAGAGGATTTGTAGTGAGAGAGGGAGTGAACCTGCGGGGAAGATGAAGTGGAAATCAGAAAACAAAGACAAGCAATTACGTTACGTAACTGCTGTCATATGTCTGCTGGTTTTTGGTAAATCCCACTACGTGAATGGTAAATCCCACTATGTGAATGGTAAATTTTACTATACATGTAGTTAATTATGAATTTTACAAAATACATATTGTGATTTACAACTTTTGTAGTGAAAGTGACTACTTTGTTAATGGGTTTTGCAACCTGTTTTCAGGAGATAAATAACTTGTTTGTAAAAACTAATAAAATTTCACGCTAAATTTGACAAAACGTATAGTGGGATTTACAACTTCCGTAGTAAAAATGACCACTTATTCAATGGGTTTTGTAACTTATTTTCAGGAGATGGGCAGCTTGTTTCTAAAAACTAATAAAATTTCATATTAAATTTGACAAAACACAAAGTGAGATTTACAACTTTCGTAGTGAAAATGATCACTTCTTCAATGGGTTTTGTAACATGTTTTCAAGGGATTGACAACTTGTTTCTAAAAACCAATAAAATTCTATGCTGAATTTTACAAAACATAGAGTAATATTTACAACTTTTGTAGTGAAAATTACCACTTCTTAAATGAATTTTGCAACTTCTTTTCAGGGGATGAGCAACTTGTTTCTAAAAATCAATAAAATTTCACGCTGAATTTGACAAAACACATAGTGAGATTTACAACTTTCATAATGAAAATGATCACTTCTTCAATGGGTTTTGCAACATGTTTTCAAGGGATTGGCAACTTGTTTATAAAAACCAATAAAATTATATGTTGAATTTTACAAAACATGTAGTGAGATTTACAACTTTCTTAGTGAAAATGATCACTTCTTAAATGGGTTTTGCAACCTCTTTAGGGGATGAGCAACTTGTTTCTAAAAACCAATAAAATTTCACATTGAATTTTACAAAACACACAGTGAGATTTACAACTTTTATAGTGAAAATGACTACTTCTTAAATGGCTTTTGTAACCTGTTTTCAGGGGATAGGTAACTTGTTTCTAAAAACCAATAAAATTTCACGTTGAATTTTATAAAACATATGCTGGGATTTACAACCTTTGTGATAAAAGTGACCGCTTTGTTAATAGATTTTGCAATATATTTTCGGGGGATGAGTAACTTACTTTTCACCACCAATAAAATTTCACGCTGAATTTTACAAAACACATAATGGGATTTACAACTTTTATAGTGAAAGTGACCACTTCTTCAATGGGTTTTGTAAACCTGTTTTCACCGGAAGAGCAACTTGTAAGCATAAATAAATCATTCAGTGAACGTGCACCTGAAGTACATCACAATAAACATTGAACTATTAAATTTCATAATTAACTACATGTATATTAAAATTTACCATTCACGGAATGGGATTTACCATTCACGGAATGGGATTTACCAAAAACCAGCAAACATATGACAGCAATTACATTACGTAATTGCTTGCGACTATTTTCTGATTTCTGCTTCATCATTCACCAAATACTGAATATGAACCCTCAAATGCAATAATCCTGTTCCTATTTCACCATGAAACAGCCACAAAAATGAATAATCCAAATCCCGCCATCAACTTCTACTCACTCATGAATAATTCAAATACTTCAGCGACCTCTTCGACGACGACAATTTCAGGGGTACAAGTTATTTCAGACAGGGCAATGTATTTCAGCGATGGTAACCAAATTCAGCGATGGCAATCTACTCCTACGACGACGGCAACGTGATTTCGAAAAATCCTTTTTGGTGACTGCAGGAACTTGGATTTAGTTTTGTAGAAGGAAATCAGTTTCTCCCTTTCTCTATCGCATGAATACACTGCTCAATGTTCAGAGACAATCAGGGCAATTCGGTCTTTTGGCCGAAAATCTATATTCCAAATTGGTACCCAGTGCCCCATTTGTCATTTTGCTTATTCAGGTCCCTTATTTGTCTTTTTGGAATTCAGGTGGTATTTTATTGTCATTTTCCCTTTTTTTAAAAAAAAATTAATGTGTCAAGTGCTCGACGTACGGGTCTCAAAATCAAGGGATATAGTATGAAGTTGGGTATAACAAACATGAACTTGGGTACGAAGCCCTTGGGATCCGTTGAAGAGTAAAAATGAAGGGATATATCATATACGGATGCAATGTACTGATAGTGCAGGATGTGATGCCCGGGTGAGAATTTAATAAGTGATTACTGAAATGCGCTGTTTAATTATTTAATGTTGCCAATTTTGATGGCGAAGACGACAGCGTATCGGCTGTTTAAAATGACGTCCCCCCTCTTCTCCTTCATTTACGCTTCCCCCCTCTCTCTTACTTTTTCCGCATCCTCGCTCCACACGCGCCCCATGCTTTTTGCTTTTTCTTTTTCTTTTTCTTTTTCAATTAAAAAGGGGATACTAAATATTCATTATTATAATAAATAGAATCAAATCCGTAACTTAACACTATAACTTTTTATTTACAAAAAAACTTCCTTGCCGCCCACCTATCCGCACGCTTTATGAGCAGACACGTACCATGCGGCTCCTGAACCCAATCCAAGTCGCTACTTTACTCCATACGCTCGCCTCTTTTCTTCTTTCTTCAATCCCAAGATGGATCGAATTCCCCCTTTACCAACCCATCATACATGACAAATTTTTTTATTTTTTTATTTACTAAAAATTTAGATGAGTTGGCCATAAGGTTCAACATGTATCTAAATTCAGAAAATACTTACAGAGATACTTACAAATCACCTGTCACTCTCTAATAAGATCTTCACATCGGCAATGGGATTCAAACATACAACTTTATAATTTATGAGTTAACTCTTTAATAATTAGACCAATTCTTATTAGTTAAACATGGTAATTTTGTGATTGCAATTCAGCCAAAAAAAAAACTTGAGTTGTACAGAGAGGAAGGGGTCAAGGGGCCACCTCGAGGTTGTTCTTGCTGCATAGAGTTACCCCTAATGCCCTAACCACCACAATACATGCCTCCCAATCACACCATTATGATCGCAACAATATTTCAAATCTTGCACGTATTAATTAATTGCACGGGATCAGGTCACCAGTCCAGATCACTCTATTGATTAATGTTTCCCAATCCAGCTTAATCATTGATTTGTCGTCCTTTCTGTTGCCTTGACGCTACACAAACATTTCTTAAGTCTAAAAAATCAATACGCTGGAATATATACAATACCGGATGCTGGGTGCCTGTTCCGATGAAGGCCTAAGTTAAATTTTATTTTGTGGTGTGTGGAGGTAGGGAGCAAATGCATTATAAATGTCGTTAAGGTTATTCTTTGCTTGAACCTGTGTGCCTACCACACACTTTCCCACTTTGCTTCCAATCCAAAAGCAAATGTGGGGCTTATTCGCTGTTTCTATTATTTCAATACCAAGCTCCCTGCATTCTTAATCTGTTTTTGTCAACTTGGTCTTTAACTCATTTGTCATTTTCATGCCAAATGCCAGCCCACGAGTTTTGGACTCACTCCTTATCCCCCAGTTGCCAGCACTCACTATCAGCATCAGGTTTTGATTATTTCAATATCAATTCCTGATGGCTTCCATTGGTTTTCATGTATAAATTCTGTATTTTCCCCCCTTACTTTTGCATTGAATCATAATTAATTTTCCAAAATCCTTGCATAATTTTGCACCGAATCACCGCAATGCTAGTAGTTAATAAACTTGGATTTTGTGTTCGCATTTTCGCAAAGAATCAAAGAGGGCATGATTTTTAAAAGGCATGTTAAATACAATTATTCTCTCCTTTTCATCAGTACAAAATGGATTATGAAGGGGAATATTGCTTTAGAGGGTGGGGCCGGCCAGCCAAGGGATGGGCCCTACCGGGGACCGCTGAGATAAGGGGAGAAAATCTCGTTGTAGCTGGATGTGATCCACGTGTACACGAAACTCAACCAATCGTCACATTCCACCCAATACCTTTCGCCACGTGGCAGATTTATGTTCATCTTTCAGCATCATCAACAAATGGCACCGTCATCGGAGCACTGCCTGCTGCTCTTTTCGCGTCCAAAAGCCGTCAATCCCGCCACCCCATGTCTGTTACTACGTTTTAACTGCAACTGAATTTCCCCAGCACCTTCAGGAATTTGAAAAAGCAGAAAAATGCCTCTGAGAAAAATAAATAAATAAATAAATAAACGGTGCATTATTAATTATTGAATTAAAAGCAATAATAGAGAGGTTGAAAGGAATAGAGTGGGAGAGAGGTCGTCGTCTTGGCTTGCTTCAACTTTCCTACTCCCTGCAACCTTTCACAATCGTATTTTCTGTCCCAATAAAATTTTATCCCGAATATCCCCGTTCTGCCCTCGCCTACCTCACCGCTTTTGCCTCTTCCTCTTCGTTCCCCCCTCCTACCGATATAAATGCATACAAACCCAATACAGCTATTGACCCATCATCTCCTTATCTCCTCGTAACACCCCTGCTGCTTCAAGCTTTGGCTTTTCTGTTTTTTGGGGTCTTGTACAGGTGACCCCCCATTCATTATCTCTCCCTTGTTTGCTTCTTGTTTGTTCTTATTCTCTTTTCCCTCTTAGGTGCAATGGTGTATTGCTTATACATTGGTTTCTGGTATTTCATTATCATATTTCTGATTGTCATCACTGTTTGAGCTCTGCTCATCTATCGTTGGCTCACTGGATTTGCACATTGCCTTTCGGTTGTCCTGAAATTGATCAGTGAATGATCGAATTTGATGAGTGCTTTGTTTGTAAAGTCACTCTACGGGATTTGACATTGGTGTGTTGTTGGTATTAACTGTTCTGGGAAGAGAATTCGCGTCACGCATGGAACGGAATATATGGTTGCTTTTGCTTTTTACTGCGCGCTAAAGTATGATTCATTTCTCTTTCTCTCTATTTTTTTTAACTGTTCCCGGCGGCATACATTTATTTATTTTACTTGGAATTTGATTCCTTTTTTATCTCTCCGGTTAATTCAAAAATGAATTTTAGCCCTTTGTCAGTGAAGCGGAAATAGGCTGTTTTACATGTGATAGAAGCGGACATGTTCATTCCTAATCTATGATTGAGGCCACAACCATTGATTTCTTTGCATTAATTATGTGTCACGTAGTGAAGAATCTGAATCATATTTCGTGATTTTAGGCACGTTGCTGTTTATACCGTACGATGCCAGGATTAGCTATGCATGAATTAGAGGTGAATGGTACAGCAAACGAACGAAATGGGAATTATGGTCCTCACAAGGAAAATTTTACTCAGCAAGAATCTCCAAGAACTCCATTGAGTCCAAGGAGTATTCAGAGCGATTCAATTGATTTGGCCATCGATGGGGTGGTGGGCACCTCCATAGAGCAATTGTATCACAATGTGTGTGAAATGCAGAGCTCTGATCAGTCGCCCTCCAGAGCTAGCTTTTACTCATATGGTGCAGAATCCAGGATTGATTCAGAATTGTGCCATCTCGTTGGAAATATTACAGATTCAGAGATCACGAAGGAGGTGGTCACGGAGAGTAAAGAAAATTGCAATACTGTTGGGTCAACTCCAGAGAAAGATATTGCGCCAGGCGGCAAGAAGTCTACAAAGACGGACAAGAACCAAACAGAAAGTCCAGGGGTTGAAGGGTCAGCCAAATCAACTCTAAAAAGCAAAAATTTGCGTGAGAAGCCACTAATGGACAAGAAGAATGAGAAGAGTACCAGAAAACCATATTCTTTTTACAACATGAGGAAGCAGAGGAACCTTGGTACCCTTGGCGCAAGGTTACAAGAAGGGATTGAGGATCATGCTGCTGCTACTGCTGGGCTAGATAACCCAGACCTTGGACCATTTTTACTCAAGCAGACAAGAGATATGATCTCTTCAGGTGAGAATCCCCAGAAGGCTCTTGATTTGGCTCTTCGAGCTGTGAAATCATTTGAGATATGTGCAAATGGGAAGCCTAATCTAGAAATGGTCATGTGTTTGCACATCTTGGCGACGATATACTGCAATATGGGGCAATACAATGAGGCTATTCCTGTTCTTGAACGATCCATTGAGATTCCTGTTTTAGAAGATGGCCAAGGGCATGCACTAGCTAAGTTTGCAGGGTGCATGCAATTGGGTGACACTTACGCAATGATGGGCCAGATTGAGAATTCAATCCTTCTATACACAGCAGGTCTGGAAATCCAAAGGCAAGTCTTGGGAGAAACAGACCCCAGATTTGGTGAGACGTGTCGTTATGTGGCTGAGGCGCATGTTCAAGCATTGCAGTTTGATGAGGCCGAGAAGCTGTGTCAGATGGCTCTTGACATTCACAGGGGAAGTGGTTCTCCTGCTTCTCCAGAAGAAGCAGCGGATAGGAGACTCATGGGGCTTATCTGCGATTCAAAGGGTGATTTTGAATCTGCTCTTGAGCATTATGTTTTAGCAAGCATGGCCATGGCAGCGAATGGGCAGGAAGTAGAAGTGGCTTCTGTGGATTGCAGCATTGGCGATGCCTATCTGTCTTTGGCACGCTATGATGAGGCAGTATTTTCCTATCAGAAAGCCCTTACAGTGTTCAAGTCAGCCAAAGGAGAGAATCACCCAACAGTAGCTTCAGTTTATGTCCGATTAGCCGATTTATACAACAAAATAGGGAAGTTCAAGGAATCAAAATCTTACTGCGAAAATGCATTGAGAATTTTTGGGAAGCCGACTCCAGGGTTCCCCTCTGAAGAGATCGCAAGTGGCTTAATTGATGTTGCAGCCACCTATCAGTCAATGAATGATGTGGAGCAGGGTCTGAAGTTACTCAAAAAGGCCTTGAAGATGTATGGTAACTCCCCAGGTCAACAGAGCACTATTGCCGGAATTGAGGCCCAAATGGGGGTGATGTATTACATGATGGGAAACTATTCTGATTCTTACAACATTTTCAAAAGTGCTATTGCCAAGTTCCGTGCCAGTGGGGAGAAGAAATCTGCTTTGTTCGGGATTGCTTTGAACCAAATGGGTCTAACCTGCGTGCAGCGGTACGCAATAAATGAAGCAGCAGATTTGTTTGAGGAGGCCAAAGGTATTTTGGAAAAAGAATATGGTCCATATCACCATGACACCTTAGGAGTTTATAGCAATCTAGCAGGCACTTACGATGCAATGGGCAGGTACTATGTTCGCAGTCTCTAACCCTCTTTAATCCTTGTAGTTTTGATCTCTAAGAAAATAGTTTATCTGGGAGTATTGTGTTGTCTGTCTCTGTCGCTCTCTTCCCTTTGCTAATACTTGTTTGTTATTTTGATTGCTTGCAGGGTGGATGATGCCATTGGAATTCTGGAATACGTTGTCAGCATGAGAGAAGAAAAGCTTGGAACAGCAAATCCTGATGTGCATGATGAGAAGCATAGGTTGGCTGAGTTGTTGAAGGAAGCAGGCAGGGCTCGAAACACAAAATCTAGAAGATCCCTTGAAACTCTCCTTGATGTTAACCCTCAGATTATAGAAAATAACGGCATCAAAGTTATCTAAAGTCTTAAATGGACATAATATACAACGAGATTAGTTGGTGTGCTTTGTGTTGTCATTGTTTGAAAATATGAGTAAAACAATAAAATGTAGTAAAAAGATAACAAAGAAAAAGTGGGCGTAGGTCCCACTTCCTAGTAGTCTATCATTTTATTGCTCAAAGATCTCCGGAGAAGGTGCTTTTGTAAATCTATTTTCTATAGAATAGAGGAGAGTTCTCATTCATTCAATATCCTCCTTTTCTACTCAATTTATGATTGTTGAAATGTCAATTTTCCAAGTGAACAAACGTATGATCAAACTTAATTTTCTCTGTTGGTACACCAAATGGCCTATTAGAAAATCAAGTTGCTTCTTGCCATAAGTCTGGAAACGTTCCTGGTTCGATCATTGATATTTATTACACGTGACAGCAAACAAGCGAGACTGTGAAATTGAATTGACGTCATCCTATAAAAAGAAACACACAAATAATGCAGTCTATTTCTTTTGCCATTTGCGAACATGCATTGCTATAGTTTACCTCAAAAATAAAAGGAACGTGTGCTGTATATTGCTATATAAGAACATAAATGTTAGAAGCATGCCTTCCCAATTGGAACTGGAGGATTAGAGAAGGATCCACTAAGAATGCGTTTAGCTATCCAGAGATGTGCTGCTTGAGAGTAGTGTATGCCGTCCTAGCTAACATGTTGAGATGGATTCTTACACGGAATCCCATGAACAGTCCCATTTACTGTGACTTGCCTCTCGCAATTAACATGGTAACCATAGTAGCTTCCACAGCAGAACAACAACGAATTCACAAAACTCGTGAACAAGCAAATATACAAGTTAGGTTCTGCACTTCGCTATAAATATACTCAAGTCTTGAACTACATAGGTTTGGCTTCAAAACATGGGGGGTTCACCTTGTTTCTTTGCGTTGCTGATTAGTTGGTATTTGGCTGAATACACATCAACATATGTGAATTTGGCAAGAGGGAGATTTTTCTTGAGCTCAAGCACTTGTTCCTTAAGCTGTCTATTGAATTCCTGAGTGATCTCATTCTGACGTTTGACACACCCATTTGCATCTAGGTCAGTGACATTAGCCCTCTTTGACTTGTAATATATAAGATCGTGGGGCAAGTACCCAATTGGGCATGTGTTGTGGATCTAGAAGATTCTAGCCCCTTCACTGTACAGTTGTTGGAACATCAAACATTACAAGTATTAGTTCTTAGAACAGAGTCGCCATCCATTTGGTTACCCAATTGTTATGTTGATTACCTGCACTGCTTGAAAGAAGGAGTCTCAGATACTAGGAATTGATGACCGAACTTGCTCCTCTGAAGTATGGTTAAAACCAAAATATAGATCGTTTTGTCCAATATCAAAGGTATATGGGGCTTTCAAGAATTCGCTAGGTCTTGGAAGACTGCTTATAAAAGGTGTTTCTGTCCCTGTAATATTGCAGTTTTCATTCCTCCTTGTCAAAATCAACTTCTGTCTAAAGATAATACAAAAGGAAATCTAGAAGAGAAAAGAAACTAAACTGTTGCTTGTAAGTTGATTGTACAAAACATTGGCACGATACTTGAATTGTTTGAATTGGGAAATCTGAAGCCCTAGATGAAAGGGGCTATGCCTGCCGGGAAGAATCGATGAGCCCCCTGTTGCAAAGTTCACCCCATGCCAGTAATTTTACCCAAGTGAGTTCAAATATGCACTCAAGTACGGCAACTTCAATTCTTCAGCTACATAGGTTTGTTAATGAAATATGCATAAGAAACTACTATCATTAATATCCTAATATGCGCTTACATTGAGAGGGCTAGAAGCGAACGCATTAAAGACGGGCAAAGACTTGAAGAAAGCCCCTAAAAAAAAGGTGTTGAATAAAGAGTGCGAAGGAGAGAAACAAAGAATGCTCTGCTTTCACGCTCACTGATAAAATCAATAATGAGTCGACCATCGCAAGCCCTTCCTGATAGACTTCTGAAGAAGCTTTCGCTGTTAGGAGGATAAACCCCTGTGAATGCTGCAGATATGGCTCCGGTGTTTGAATTTGAGTCCCTAAAGTTGTAAATAGCTGGAAACCCACAAGTTTTAGAGACACTAACTCCCCAAACTTCACATGACAAACCCAGAACTAAACACCCAATTATGTGAATCTTTATACCGGAGCTCATCATTGGTTCCTTTTCTCCCCTCTCAGCAAGTGGCTATGTATCACCAATTCACTGAATAATAGGGCTTGCATTAGCATTGAGGAAAACTCAGAGGGTTTTTCCTTTTAGCAGGCACATTTTTGAAGAATGTTCAGTATCGAGCACAAACAGAAAAGAACAAAAATGGGACTCTAATAAATTTTGGTAAAGTATCTTTGCCATCAATATTGTTCCTTGTATCGTGCGTGTGAGACAAATTTTTTGAAAGCAAGTCTCGAGAAAGATGAAAACTGCTAAAACGATCATGTGCAGCTGCGTGCTGTAGCAAACAGTTCTTAAATTGGACGTCGATAAAATCTCTCTTACTTCAGCGCTTTGAAATGAAAATGCAAATAAACTTCAATCAAGAGAGTATAAAATATGAGAAAAAGACACTAAAATACTTTTAAAAATACTAAATGATAAATGAGGGTGTTTGAATTTCAAAATTTCAATTCAGACTCTAGGTACTTTTTTAGAATTTTTAAATCTTGTAAAATTACACAAATATCTTTTAATATTTTTTTTAAAATACTGTCACCTCAGCAATCCTGGTTGTCCGAGCTCTGAAGCCGACAGTGTTGCCGGCGAACAACCACTGGAGCTCCGACGACATGTTACTCGAACTTCAGTGACCGATCACCGGAGCTCCGGTGACTACTCATTCTTATGTATTGACTACTCATTTTTAATTATTGACTACATTTGTTTTTAAACTTTGGTAATTATGCTTGTTAAGCTACTGACTACTCTAGTAATGCGATTGACTATTTTTATTTTTACAATTTGAATGACTACTTTTATTTAGCTATTAATTACTCTAGTTTTGTTATTAACTACTTTTGTTCCAAAAATTCAAAAAATACATTAAGTGTTGTTGGAGATTTGGTAACTACTTTTTGTTTAGTTATTTACTATTCTTATGTAGTCAATAGCTATATAAAAGTAATCACTAGAATTTTGACAATAAAAATAGTCAATAGTTAAAATAGAATAGTCAATAGTTAAATAAAAGAGTAGTAACCGACAGTAAGAATGTTGTTGTCATTTTACAAGATTTGAAAATTATAAAATGGTACCTAGAGCGTAAATTGGGATTTTAAAATTTACCTGTCATAATTTATCATTTAGTAATTTTAGGTGTATTTCACTGTCTTTTTTCCTTAAAATAATTGGAGGAGCATTGATGATGCAATAAAGGTTAATAACCCAACCCAACACCTAGCCAAAACAAAGTTCAGTACTACTTGAAGGCTGTTTATTGCACTTTCTTTTTTAACAGACTTTCTTGACAAGTTCAACCATAATGTTCCCATCAGATATTAAAAATTGCAGCTCTGTATATTTTGACTGCAGCATAGGAACTGCTATACATACATATAGTACAACTTATGAGAATTGTATGAATGCTAACACAACTGTACAGAAAGCTATGGTCATTGATGATTCGAACCGACCCCAATGGAGCAGCTAGCAAGGACATCTAAAGAACAAATTAATGATGTAAACTTGTTCACGAAAGGGAATTCTATTGGTCACATAAAACAAAAAGGAAAATTAATACGAGTTTGGTTAAAAATCACCGCGCTGCTATGCTGAACCCTATAACTACTACGTTTAGCTTCACTTACTGACACTGTTTATTAGTTAATATATAAGCACAAATGTTACTAGCCTGCGACAAATATAGCATATTGAGAGAGTACTTAAGAGGCGCATATGTAATAAATTAATGTTTAATTCGAAATGGACGCCTTAGGAAGGGGAAAAGGACAAATTTAATGCAATTTTACCATGACCTCGTGTGAAGATGATAATGATATCATATAATTTCGAAAAAGAAATTAAAAAGGATTGAAGATCTGAAAACCTAACGCTGAAAAATAGAATTAATTGATTGTATCTGAAATTCAGTCCACTAACTCCTGCAAATCAATTGAATCACGGCAAGAATCAGAAGCACGCTTTTCCAATTGGAACTGGAGGGTCAGAGAAGGAACCACTGAGAATGCGTTTAGCAACCCAGAGGTTTGCTGCTTGAGAATAGTGTATGCCGTCCCAGCTAACATGTTGAGATGGATTAGGGCAGGGATACCCATAAACAGTTCTATTTACTGTGACCTGCGTCCCACAATTAACATGGTAACCGTAGTAGCTTCCACAGCAGAACAACAATGGACTCACAAAACCTGCCACCAAGCAAATCATAAAAGTTAGGTTCCGCACTGTGCTATCGATCTACTTAAGATGTGTTGGTTTGGCTTCAAAACTTGTGGATCACCTTGTTTCTTTGTGTCGCTGATTAGTTGGTATTTGGCTGAATACACATCAACGTACGTAAATTTGGCGAGCGGGAGATTTTTCTTGAGCTCAAACACTTGTTCCTTAAGCTGTCTGTTGAATTCCTGAGCAACCTCATTCTGGGGTTTCACACACCCATTTGCATCCAGGTTGCCCTGTTTTGACTTGTAATATATGTAGCTGTAAGGCAAGCACCCAATGGGGCCTGTGTTATGGATCCAGAATATTCTAGCCCCTTCATTGTACAGTTGCTAAAACATCAGCCATTACAAGTATTAGTACTTAGAACAGAGTCACCATCCGATTAGTTATTCTCACAATTGCTAGTGTTGATTACCTGCACGGCCCGGTAGAAGGTTTGTAATATTAGGAATTGATGATCGAACTTGCTCATCTGAGCCGTGCTGAAAACCATAACCAAGATCGTTTTGTCCAATATCAAAGGTGTATAGGGCTTTAGAGAATTCGTCAGGTCTTGGAAGACTGCTTTCAGAAGTTGATTCTGTCCCTGGAACATTGCAGCATTATTTGTCATTGTCAAATATAACTTCAGTCCAAAAAGAATAATCTAGTTGGAAACTATTATAGATTCTCATAATGTGCTTCAAGATATCCACAGCTGCATATGCTTTTAGAGTACCACCAAAACCAAGATTACAAAAGGAAATCCAGAGATGAAGAGTGAAGAAACTAACTGTTGCCTGAAAGCTGAGTGTACAGAACATTGGCGCGATACTTGAACTGTTTGAATTGAGCTATCTGAAGCCCCAAATCAAATGGACTATACCCGCCAGGACGAATCGATGAACCTCCTACTGCAAAGTTTGCGC